CTTTTCAAAATATAAGTTTAGATTTTTAACACTATCCTTTCAGAAAACTCAGTTAGATAAAAATGATTTTGAAATTCTCAATTTTAGGAAGGAGTAACTAAAGTAAATATTAGAAACTTTAAGTAATAGTACAACTGTCGTTTATATAGATATATCTTAAGGTTGTATAAGATTTACTGCAAATGAATAGAAAGAATTAAACAAAAGATTCGAAAGATAAGGGAATGATGTTTTCATAAAAATTTGATTATTTTTATATTAATTTAATCTGTATTATCTCTTTATGGAAATTCAATATCAAAATATTGTAATTTCTTCTCCCACACTGAAAAAGACATACTTTAAGGAAATTTTTGGATTCACTCAATAACACTTATTACTTAATAAAGGCTAACTTTGAAATTCCTTATTTATGAACAAACGAAGTTGGAATTTTGAAGTCGAATCTGTGTGTTTTTAAGAATTGCATTATTTAAGATTATTACAACATTCAAATATCATTCAACTCTGTGAATAATCCAATAAACAAGAAGTTATTTTTATTAACAGATTTGTATTAAGGAGAAGTCATTGAGTTGATATGGTTTAGAAGAAATTCATGTAGCAGATTAGTTTCATGCATTTTAGAGTTATTTCTCATAGAGATTCAAGACCAAAAAATAAGAAAAGATTTAGACATATATTGGCACAATCTCTCTGATATTCTATGATATGATTTGGGATTAGCAGAAAAATTCTTTAAAGAATGCAAAACTTACACAACAGATACGGAACACCTTGCTATGTTGCATTTGAAGTGTTAATAGTTAAAATATAAACATAATGCTATAATAATGGAATTATAACATATTTTGGATAAACATTATCAACAAACCTGTACAACCCAGGGAGGGCTATTATTAATATAAACGTTTCTGAAATATACGAAAATCTTTTAATCATAGCACTAGGTAAAAATAATAAAATGCGATTATCTTCTATGGAGGTTTGGAACATCACTTTATTAAATTTGGATATCATACTTTTCACCTTCTAAAGGAACCTTATAAGGAATGAGCATGACTTCTCTTAGATGCAATATAGTCAGATAATAGAAATTTAGGAGAAAGGATGAAAATTCTAAAAAAAGAAAAGGTTTATGTCTTATAAAAAAGGTATACTCAAAATCAAATAAATAGCAAGAATTAATTTTAATTTTAAGTTTAATGGATTTTTTATCATTTGACAAGGATTAAATATTTAGGTTACTCAGTATTGAGAAAAATTATATTTTTTATTCAATAACTTAAGATTCTTTGTCGCACCAGCATTAATGGTCTTTTTAGTTTCTTACAACATTTTATGCCTTATTTGAGAGTGAACAAGATTATAACCCATCTGCGTATTACAAGATAGAAAAATTCAATTTTTTTGGTGATGATTTTGCTAAATTTTGTGTTGTGTTCTAAGTTGTATTGGCAGTATTTTTGAAGGTTGTCATACAATCTTAATAATTACTCGGATTAGGCTATAGGCGACTCTTCGTAATTTTCATCTTCTACTAATTTAACTTAGCTTACCGAGTTCATATGTGATGAAATTTTTAAAGAAATTATTTTACTTTCTAAATATTCAAATTTTAGTTTTATAACCTGATTACGCTGACGTTAAGCTATTTTATATTTGTTTACGAATGCAAATTTTAAGATAATAGTGAAAGATTGTCAAAATAATTGATAAATCTTCAAATTCTATTGATGAAGTATTTCAAACACACGACGTATTAGGTAATGAATATCCTCTCTTAAAAATGACCAAAATATTAGGAATAGAGCAGTTCTCACGCGCATAAGTATATTTTTGGTTCTCAAAGGTTTAGTAGATTTATTTTCTAAAATCGTCTTTATTCACTTTCAATGCAAGTTTCTTCAATTTATTTAAAAGCCATTCTTACAGACCCTGAATTTCTAAAGTTCCATATTTATTATATTTTTACACAAAAAATAGTATCCCCTAAATTGTTCAATCGATATCAGTAGCAAATTAATTCTAATTGATAATTTATATTCAAGGGGTTTGAGGATAATCTCTTCAAATTAAACTTTAATTTTTTCTGTAATAAGCATTTCTAATCAAATATTTAAAAGTAAATCCCAACTGATTAATAATTAGAGTCATTAATTTTCCAGGTGACCTAAGTCTCCTTTTTTAAATGATTAAATATCTGTGATAAAGGACTCAAAGAAGATATCTCAAACACTTTAACCTCACTGCTTTTTTACAGTTTTAAGGTATTAATTAATAATTAAAGATTAATTATAAATCTTTATATTCCCATGAAACACCCTTATTCCATAGGATATTACTAAATTTTAATTCATTATATTAGAGTTAACATTTGCCTAAGGAGAATTGAACTAGTTGCCATTTTACATTATTGATTGAAGAATACATTTCCATCGCCTTTATACATTAGTGAAATTATTGCATTTATAAAAATTAATTCAGCTTTGCTTTCATCTGTAATAACACAATTAAAATGTCCAAGATTTATTAAATAGTCCAAATAACATCTACAATACAAAAGATTTTTAATTGAAGTATATAATAATTTTGTAAAATTATACAGCTTTTTATTCTTAATAATCCACAACAAAACTCGTCATCCAACTCATTCCACAAACCAATTTTAACTCCTACACCTTTTTCTTGTTAATCATATGATCCACCGCCGTTATGAACCTTTTTATAAAGTATTGTACATTTTTGTTTATTCACCAGACCATACTCCTCCAATTCTTCTCTCCCAATTACCAACTTTCTTTTATTATCTTATATTAGCCTTCAAATAAGTCAGATCCAAAATTAGAAATCTATCTCCTTCCAAAAAATGCCAATCTAAATCACCATTATTTTCATATTTTCCACGCTGCCACAATTTAATATAAGATTTTTATATCTTAAAATTTGTACCATACTCAAGGTTAAATAAATTCCAACATCCAACTTTATTTACAATTGTTGTATTTACCATTTACCACTATGAGTTATTAGATTCTTACAATAAAATTTTTACATCCAACTCACACCATTCACCAAAACTTAACACTTATTCTATTATATTATCCCCCTCCACTATAACCATTTCATAATAGATTAATTACATTATAATTATTCCTCATCAGTGTCGTACCTATATAGAATATCCCATCTACAAACTTTTGTACCATTTGTAAATTCATCACTATGAGTGACTCATTTTTTCAAATAAAATTTATCATCCAACTCATTGCATTTGCCAACCTTAATTCCTTCATCATACGATCCAACAACATTATAAGATTCTATATTTCTTATTCCAATCATGTTTCCTTAAATATTCCATCTACCAACCTTTTTACTATTTTATTATTCCCCTCTATAGGTTACTTATTTTTAAGTAGAAAATCCATCATCTAACTCTATCCACTCTCCAACCTTTCCTACTTCATAATACGATCCACCCCTACTATTTCACTAAATATTTCTTCTTTTACAATAATTGTCCATTATATTTATTACACCAATTGCCAACCTTTTTACCGTTGTTATACTCACCACTGTAGATGAGTTATTTACAAATATAAAATCCATCGTCCAATTCAATCTAATTACCATTCTTAATTCCTTCATAATAAAATTCGCCACCACTATTTCCATTTATTTTTATTACTTATATTAAATATCCTTCGTACTCTATATTCCAAATAGCAACCTTTTTATCATTTTTATACTCACCACAATTGGTCATAAAATCCATCATCCAACTCTAATCACTTTCCAATTTTTATACCTTAACAAAATAATCCACCCCCTATATTTTCCACTTTAAAAAATTTAGGCTTTACTATTTTAATATTATTATTTCCTATACTTCCTATAATTCTAAATGGGTTATATACATAACCCTTAT